CAGAGGCTCAGCCTCAGGGGCGGCGACTCCCCCATCTACAGATGATATGCGCATCCTAGATGCCGCGGAGAAACGCCATCTAGGCGGAAGCGTTTTCCATCTAAGGACACCGGGTGGGTCTCCACTATGATTGGGTTCTCCAAAAGAAGATTTAATGTGGAGATGTTAGATGGTGCCACCCCGCGTCGTCTTTTCTCTCTGACCGGCGACCTTGCTGGCGTCCTTCTTTTCTTGCCCGCGGCGGGCGACCTGACTGCGCGTACGCACAACAACATGTGCATGCACATGCACATGCACATGCACATGTGCATGTCATGTGCATGTCCATGCACATGCAGAGGTCGCTCCATCCATCCATCCACCCTGGTCCCTGCTGGGCTGTTCCTTTGTCCATGTTGCGCGGACGCCCTCAACCACCATCCAAGAATGCCTGTGTCTCGTCGATGCAGAATATGCGCGCGCTTTGATTATCGGAGTGCTTCAACCCTCCTTTGTCCCGGGGGGGGCCGTTTTTGCGTGACTTGGACATCACGCCGAGGCCGAGGAGCAAAGGTCTCGCCATCCATGTGTGCTGCCGCCCCAGCCCAGCACCGCACCGCCCGCTCGCTACACCCTCCTCCAGCCCACCCTCTCCTCCACTTTCGCTGCCGCCGCACACGGCCAACTTCACTGTGCTGCGGCGGACCACCCGCCAGTGCGGCGTCGCCATTGCCCTTGGCCGCGGGTCGCTCCTCCTGTCGCTGCCTCACTCACTCTCGCCGCCCGTCCGACAACAGCATGGTCCGCCTCTTGCTGATGATCGCCTTCGCCGCCTCCGCCACGCGCGGAGCACCCATCCCGACCGACAAGCTGGACGTCGCGACTACCCTCAAGTACGCCGACGTCGACACGGCCAGCAAGTCCATCGTCGACGACAAGGAATCGCTCGGCGCCTCCGAGAGCCGCAAGACCCTCTCCTCCACCAAGGCCGTTCCCAAGGCGGACTCGACCCTGACCGCGCGCTACATCACGCCCGCCAACAAGACCTCGCATGGGGGCCGGAAGCTGTCGCCTCCCTCGGTCGTGAGCGGCATGGGCCTCGCCTTCACCACCGACGGCAACAACGTCAAGATGTGCAGCGAGCATAACGGCAACTACTGGAGCGGTGGCTCGTGGAACAACTATGGCGATCAGCCCACCTCGGAGGATTGCCAGAAGAAGTGCCTCGACGACCCCGACTGCCCCTTTGTGCTGTTCCGCCCGGCCAACCGCTTCTGCACCAAGTACACCGCATGCACGCGCTCACCCGGCATCGACTGGGGCTGGGCAGGCGACCAGGTGTTCCGCAAGCAGTGCACGGTCGACTCGGTCACCGTCAACACGAAGAGCTGGGGCTCCGAGGTGACGTGGTCGATTCGCGATGCGTCCGGCGACGCCGTCTGCTCTGGCGGCCCATACGACGACAACACGGAAACGTCGGAGCACTGCTGCATCGGCACCGGCGCCTTCACCCTTTCCTGCACTGACTCCTACGGAGATGGCTGGCACGGTGGCAGCATCGAAATCGCCGGCAAAGAGTACTGCGCCGACTTCGTCGATGCCGATGGATCTCGGGAGTCCTTCGAGCAGGAGGAGCAGCTCGTGATTGAGGAGCTCGTGACGGAACAGCTCGTGACGTCCCTCAAGACTGCCGGCGAGGAGGTGCAGGCTTGTGACGACCGGCTGGACAGCATCGGCGAGAGCATCGGCGAGGTCCAGGAAATCACTGAAACCGTGACTGAGGTGGCCGGCAATTTCGAGTCTGCCATGGAGACGATGAAGGACGTCCTCAATTTGATCAAGCCGGTCGAGCCGATTCTGACCAAGATTCCGAAGGTGGGCAAGGTGCTCAAGGTGGTGTTCACTGTGGTCAAAAAGATCCAGCCTCCGCTCACGAAGGCGTCCAAGGTGGTCCACAACGTGACCATTAAGATTGATGAGGTTGTCCAGCACGTCGACGCGGTGGTTCAGGCTACTGCAGACATCACGGGGACCACGGCCTCGCTGCTCACAGACGCTTCCGCTGTCCTCGACGTTGTCAATACCTGCATTATGGAGAATGGGGGCTACGATCGCACGGCCGACACAGCTTTCTCTAACGCAGCCGTCGCCATCGAGGATGCAAACAAGGTGCACTGGCCATTCACCAGCGAGGCTCTTCAGGCGCTCACGCTGACGGGAAAGGGGTGCAACGATGGCCTGGAGCCGCTTGACGAAGCCCTCATGGAGGTCGTCAAGGTGGTAGAGCTTCTTGACCCCATCGAAAGATTCGCCGACGCGCTCAACGGTATCTTTGACTACGTCGAGAAGCACGTCAAAGACTTCGAGAACACAAATGCCGCCCAGTGCGCTGCCAGCGTCGGCGAGAAGGCGGGTCTTGTCGCCTCGCTGGTCTCGTGCCCCGCCGACGAACTCGGCGGAACTTTGATCAAGACACTTATGGAGACGCTGCTCGATGTGGCCAATGAAATCATCCAGGAGACTGTAGTGAAGCCGCTTGCGAACGCCATCCAAGACATCGTTCCGCCCAACGCGGCCATCACCATCCCCGATGTCGTGGACGTGCTGCCCGTCGCAGCCATCGCAGCCATCGACAGCGTCTGTCCCAGCGGCGCGCACCTCGATTACTTCAACGAGCATGCCGCCAAGCTCACCCGGGTGGACCTCCCGTACGACGTCAACTTCCAGGACCTCGCCCTGTCGGCAGTCGAGATGATCAACCTCGGCAGCATCGAGGTGACGACCGAGAGCGCCTGCCAGGACGCGATCGACGCCTTCCAAGATTACACATTTGAGGGGTGCGCAGAGCTCGCCGAAGAGATCGTCGAAATGGCCGAGGAGGTCGGCAAAGACTTGTCGCGTGGCTTCGACGACGCTGTCTCGTTGGCAGAGGACGTCGTGTCCAGATGCAGGCACACTTGCTCCTCGGGCAGTGTCGGACTCGGAGCGGCTGTGTGCAAAGAGGTCTGCGCCACATGCGCCAGCCCCAGTGGATGTTGCAGCGAGGCGACTGGCTTGCCAACCACCCCTGGGTTGTCCTGCCGCTCGGGCAGTGTCGGAGTCGGAGGGTCGACTGATGTGTGCACATTCTTTGGCTGCGCCATATGCCTCGCCAGCCCCACTGGATGTTGCAGCAAGGCGACTGGCTTGCCATCCGACCCACCCGACCAGTACTGCCACTCGGGCAGTGTCGGAGTCGGAGGGTCGACCGTGTGCGAAGTGGTATGCTCCCCATGCGCCAGCCCCAGTGGATGTTGCAGCAAGGCGACTGGCTTGCCAAGCGCCCCGCCCCAGATGGTATGCGATTAGACGAGCCTACTCGGGCACAACTTGGAGCACAACCTTGTCTATTATCGCCTCCACCTCCCGTTTTGCTCGTTGGGGTCGTCAACGGGCCGGCCCGCCGATGCCGCAGGTGGGCTTGCATGGAACTTACAGACACCGACACATCCCGATGCTGCCGTCGGTGCCAGCCGGGGGGGCGCTGACTTGCCCCCAACCATAGCCGCCTTTTGTTCGCGCCCCGCCGCCCTTCGGAGTCGCTCCCTCGTGTCTTGAACATGAACATGACCCGCGGGGCGCGGCCATGCGGATGATGGCCAGGGCTCTGGATATCTACTGATTGTGAAGTATTGTGATCTGTGATCTGTAAGGGTCTGCGTGTGAAGTATTGTGCATTATTTTCGTTGTGTGAACTACCAAGGACGACACGCTTTATCCTTTTGTGTATTAACACTTTGATGTCATGTCGCGACGCGTCTCGCCTCTCGAGGCGGCGTAAATAAGGATCGGCGCGGGGCCGATAGCCCGTGACGCGGCTCCACCACACGAGCGGTGTTGTGGGTGCGCGCCACCAGCGGGCTGCGAGCAGCCAGAGCGGCTCCGCCATCGAGTAGCGGTACATGTCCACCTTGGCGTACCGCGGCGCCTTGCGGGCGTGCGGCGGCTCCGGGTCGCGAAAGGCGGCGCCGTCGGCGGCGCCCGCGGCGAGGAGGGAGAGGGCGGGCGGGTCGGCGGCGAGCAGCTTGAGGAGGAAGGCGAAAAGCCACCGCTCGCGCCGCTGCAGCATG